TATATATATATCATATAAAATTCTATAATATTATATACTGTCTCATTTCTTATACAGATGTTCCTCGCTTACCGACTTACCTGTTTTGCGACCACTCGCACTTACGAAGGACCGCCGATCAACCTCCGACTTTGCGCGTCAGCGTCAGTGCGCCGTGTCGCCGGCGGAAGTGGTGTCCTCCGATCTTCACTGCGGGTTCCAGTAAGTATTTTCATTGCCCGATGTACAGTACACCGTTCGGTACTGTACATCGGCAACGCTATACAGTACTGTACTAATGCAGTACAGTACTGTATAGAGTTCCTCACTTAACGACCAATCCGTTTAACGACCTGGTCGTAGGAACGGAACTCGGTCGTTAAGTGAGGAATACCTGTACAAGAAAGATTCTGTGATCTAGCGGTGTTGGGGTTATAATGCATAATAATCAACAAAAATGTGCAACATCATTTACAAGATAAAATATAAGTTTGGCACAGGGCCTACTGTAAGCTTTAAATTCTATTGCATGGAGCGTTGGCTACTTTACAACACACACAGCGACCATGGAGAACAAAAGTAGCCCCCCTCCAGAAGGAAGGACAGTGTCAGCACCAATTTAGAGATGATTTGAGGATCCACAACTGAGTCATTCACAAAATAAGATACATTGTTGTTAATAATTAGGGTCAGGGTCATCCCTATGGTGAGATTTTTGCCTCAGGCGGCATATTTGGGGTAATGTGGGGGGGGGGGGGGCACAGGCAGAGTGGCATGGCCTCTTTGCTGCACAATGTTTTCAGGGTGCCTGCCACCCCCTTTCAGGCCAGTGCATCCCAGGTTAGTAAACCCGGGGGGGTAGAGAGATGTGTAAGGGCCATATACAGCTCACTGCCCAGCTCTTAGCAAGCCGGGATGCTCTGGCTGGTGTCCTGCCTAGTTCCTGGCAACCAGTAACGTCAGTGAGCTGGGTGGGATGCTGGCCAGAGACAAAACTGGTAAGATGAATCACCCCCTCTCTTTAGCATGCACCATCAGCATCCACCCCCATACATGCACCACCAACAGCTCTCCCCCCATTTTCCTCCTCCAGAACTTGCACCACCAGCAAGTTGCACCACCAGGCTGTTGTCAGCTCTGGATAAGCTATACCTGTGATGCTATAATGTAAAAGTTAAAGAAAATGTCCGCTATTTAAAAAATCCTCCTTCAAGATAATCCAGGCTTGACCATGTAGTAAACTGTAGAGGTCCTCTACTCCAGCCGCGTTTTACAAATACCAGGACCCTTACTCTCTTGTTATTTCAACTCATTTTGTTAACAGAAATTGTATAAATATTAATTATAACAGAACAATCATCTATGAATAATTACGATCCCCCCATTTAAGGGAACAAACATTGTCAGTGGCAAAATACCTTTGTGCTGCGACAAGCAGTCTGCTTTATTATTGTTTATTGTCATGTTTTGTGCCTTGGTACAGTTCACTGTCTTCCCCTCCTGTTATGCAATACCGTGTTTCCCCGAAAATAAGACACTGTGTTATATTTTTTTTGCCCCCAAAAAACACACTAGGTCTTATTTTCAGGGGGTGTCTTATTTTTTTTTAATGTGCAAGAAAATGTACAACAATCCAAAGTTATCTGGTATCACTCCACCTGTCACAGTAACTGGCGCTATAGAGGAATATCGGCTAATGCGGCTCTGCCCCCTCCGCCGCCGCAGCCTTGCTTTCTACAGCGCCGGCTTCCTTTGCCACCAGGGACTGTGGTACCAGCGGGGCAGCAGTGGGGACATCAGACAGTGGACAGCGTGGTAAAATACGGTACCATTTACCGGTACACATTACAGTACAGTACCATTACATTAAGCAGTGTCTTCAGGGGGACAGCAGTTGGTGAAGTCTGGAGGGAGTCCCCTGTCACTGCGCTGGCCGGAGGGAGTCCCCTGTCATCCCCTTAATACAGTATGTCCCTGCAGGTTGATACCATCTCTCCTGCAAGTTCCCCCTCACATGCTACCACCAAACTAGGTCTTATTTTCAGGGTAGGTCTTATATTACAGGAATCTTGAAAAATAGTGCTAGGTCTTACTTTCGGGGTAGGTCTTATTTTCGGGGGAAACAGGGTAGTTAAGTCAGCCCTTCACCGTCTATGTCTTGACAAATGCTTTTCTCTTTTTAAGAAGGACAAGGAATCACATCCTTTGTACATGCAAATTTAAAAAAAAAACTACATTGGTTTCCACTCTTAGTCTTCTGGGTGAGATGGACCCTGCCTGTAGATCTTGTCAGATCAGCAAATTGCCATACTGTCTGCACAGACCGGGTCTCAGGAGGTATGGGGTTTTTTTTGCACAAAGTGACATTTAAGACAGAACACCTTTACCCATCCAATGTCTACTTATAAAAATGTCAGCTAGGCTTCAATGAACTACTTTTGTTTCAAAACTTTATAAAAAGCACAAACAAATAATATGTTATTAAGGACCTTCATCCGTGGCGTAGAGGAGAAATAGGAGCATATTACCTGGTGGTTGAGCAGACAGTGTACAATGAATATGTATGCCCCTTGAGGGCTGTTACATATGGTGAACAGGTATGACATTATCTGGGAAAAAGAGCCAAATTGGAAGCAGCCAATACTCCAGGTACAGCCAAGAATTAGAGCTTGAGCCAAGGCCTTGAATGTCAGTAACCTAAGAAAATGAGGGAGAAGCAAATGGGAAATAAATTGCCGTGTTCTACATACTCTACATCCTTGCTCAAAGTAAGTTGAAACCCAATCACTAAAATATCATATAAACTTTAAAGGCCAAATTAACTTTGCATGTAAATCGGTTAAAGTGACACTACACTCGGGAGTTAAACCTTAAAAATACAAGTCCCTTAACTATGAGCAACAATGTCTCTTATTTGTGTATCACTCGGCTGTAGATCCTCCAATCATCTCCAATCATCGCAGGGCCGACCGTTTCCCACTCAAATGACAGCCGGGCAGAGCCCAGTTGTAATGACAGATCAGCATCCCCAAATGACCTGGGGACGCTGATCTGTCATTAAACAACAACAACTGGGTAGAGCCGGCCGTGACGTCACGGGCGGCTCCGCCCAGTTGGTTTTTTTTTTGCCCGGGACCTGCTGGAAGACTCTGGCAGGTGCCGGCCAATAGTAAACAGTTGGGCGGAGCTAGAGATGAAACCAGTTGCACAAGGCTGAAGTGAATAGCCGAACAGCTCGGCTGCTTTGTGAATAAACCCCCTTAGTTTTTTGGCTTAATGGAGTTTGTTAGGTCGGGATCCGCTCCGGCTGCTGCGTCTCAGTATACCGCGTGCTGTAGCTGGCGGTATACTGAGCTTAGGGTAACGGGAGGACGCTAGTTTGTGTCCTCCCGTTACCCTAAGGAGAACTATGGGGAAAAACACTGACCCCATAGTCCTCCTTTAAATACAGAAGACTGAAGACTTCTAGTTGTGGAAAGATATAACTGTGGTGGACGGCACCATAGAGGAAGAGAGTATTTCCCCAGAACTGCCTTTTTAAAAAAAAAACAACAAATGAGTCCCGAGTTGGACTTTATTCCTCTGAATGAGATGAAAAGTCATTTATCTAACGGTCATGAATGAACCTTACCGAGTGTTCTTTAGAGTGGACACATTCGTATTCAGAGTTGCCAGCCGCCTTCTCAGAAGCAGAACAGTGAAGATCAATAGAATTGTGTTTGTCTAAAATGAAAAAAAAAAACAGAGAAAAGAAAAGTCACAAGATAGAAATAACTTTTTTTCCCCAGAAACAAGTAAATGTGTGACGCAACAAACAGGGACGGCTTCATAGAGATGGAGACTTATGGGGCTTTGCACAGAGTACCAAACTATCTACTGAGCCGACCTGTGACAGTCTCATTGTCACAGGTCGGCTAGAACTATGAGGCGAGTGGAAATCACTCATCTCATAGTTCTCCTTTAAAGCCGAAGTTTAAAGGGTAAAATCAGACATTTTTTTTTTAATCACATGAATGTATTCATATACACTTGTAAAGATAACGAAAGGTCCATTTCAAAATAGTTTCAGAAATCCACTAAAACCAGGACTGTCTTTGGTCATCAGTGTCAGGTGGCCACAACACTAGAAAGTCAGGACTTGCCAACAGTCAAGCAAAACAAGCAGCCAAGCCCTTCCATGTGCACCTTGCTGTAAAGCTGGTTATGAGTTGTTGAGTGCGTTTGCCATTTGTTTTGCTGGACTGATTTGGTGCAGTGACAAACTGGGGGTCTCAGCTGCCGTTGTGATGCGCGGGGGTCCCATGTGTGTCCCTGTGCCTTTAAGGAGGTTGGGCTGCCTCCTGGCGAACCTGCACCCAATGTTATCTTTTGCTACATGTGCTCCAAGATGGAGACTCTCATAGTTTAGAGTTAGGACCGCACAACACAGAGGTGCCTTGACGAGGCAGTGCGGCTTTCACATATTCTGCAGAAGACGTGTACAGTGGTACCTCGGTTCACGAACAATTCGGTTCGCGACCAGGAAGTTCGTCAAAATTTTGCCTCCGTTCGCAAACTCTGCCTCGGGTGACGAACACGACCGCAGCCATCTTCCCCGCTCTGACACATGGTCGTGGCTTCCTGTACTCGAGATTGCGGTCTGTGGACACTTACTGTGAAGCTTTTTTGTATGCTTTGTAGCACTGTACTGTATTACTGTATTCAATCCAACATGGCTTCCCAAGAAAAGTGCAGAGCAAGCATGGTGGGAAAAAGAAAGCGCAGAGCATTAATGAAGGTGACAAGCATGTTCAGAGCGTTATTGAAGGTGACAAGAATGTGCAGAGCGTTATTGAAGGTGACAAGAATGTGCAGGGGGTTAATGAAGGGGACAAGAATGTGCAGAGCAAGAATGGTGGTAAAAAGAAACTTGTGGTTAAGTTTTATTTTATTTTTTCCATATGGTGCAGAACGGATTAACCTGATTTACATTGAACCCTACGGGAAAATATGATTCAGTCCACAACCCATTCGGTTTGCGACCAGAATCGTGGAACCAATTAAGTTTGTGAACCGAGGTACCACTGTATCTAAAACCTCTGTCTTTAACCTTAGCGGTGAGACTAGTTTTTTTTTGCATGCTGGCTGATGAGTGTGCTGGGAAACCTTTCGCTGTAGGACTTGCCAACAGTCACACAATTGTCCATGGTTCTGTGGTGTGAGGGGGAGCTGACGGTATTGCCTGCTGCCTGTATTGGGCAACAGATGTGAAGGTCCAAGAATACTTACACTGATAAACACACAGGCTGGACCAAGGAAACTCCAGACAAGACGCGGATGAAGCCAGCAGCTTAAGAAGAAGATAAACGTATAGAGAAATGTCAATGTCACAGCGAATGATCATTGTGTATTACATGTTTCCTTAAGTGTGAGATCGTTACCTTTGATGGACCTTTTCCCAATGTGGGTTATGCCAGCAGAGGTTTGTAGTATATGGAGAATCACTTTGCAACAGACACCACGTGAGCACTTACATTTGTTGTATTTTCATCCTCAGTGTTTTTGTACTAGTATTTTTCTGTGCATGTATATTATTTTATTTAGAATTAATGTTCATATTTGTATGTAATATATTTTATATAAATGACTTTGCAAAAATGGATGACCAGAATACATTCCTTACTGTGGAGGTTTCTGTGCTAATGAAGTTCTTCTGTACAGGACTTGAGAAACGGGCCATGAGGCTCCTGCACAAAGGTCTACAGATGTATATTATTTTCTTTCAAAGTAATGTTCATATTTTTACTTAATACATTTTATATAAATTACTTCCTAAAAATGGATGAACGCAATACATTCCTTACTGTGGAGCTTCTATGTTAATGAAAACCTATTGTACTTAAAACATGGGTCGATCTACAAATGTACAGTATATTACACTGCACTTTAACCTGGATCTATGACTAATTTTCAAACTAAAAAATAACATTCAATCTAAACTTTCCTACAACCCTGTACCGATTTATACTTTCATCTAAAAACTTAAAGTGACACTAAACTCAGAAGTTAAATCTTAAAAATACAACTATTAACAACAATGTATCTTATTTGTGTATCACTCGGCTGTAGATTCTCCAATCATCTCTGAATTGGTTCTGCCACTGTCCTTCCTTCTGGAGGGTGGCTACGTCTGTTCCCCATAGTCCCTGTGTGTGTTGTAGAGTAGTCCCCGCTCCAAGCTCACTCCTGTGATGGACTGTGAAAACACACAGAGGGACCATGGGGAACAAAAGTAGCCCCCCTCCAGAAGGAAGGACAGTATCAGCACCAATTCAGAGATGATTGGAGGATCTACAGCCGAGTGATACACAAATAAGATACATTGGTGCTAATAGATAACAATGCTCTGAACGCATTTTTGAGATTTAACTCCTGAGTTTAGTGTCACTTTAACATTGCGAAACAAACCTATGACATGATATATCACACACAAAAATCTAGGCACCATCCTTTCGTACTCCAAAAGATTGCTGTCAATACACAATGCTCTATCATCTCTGCCATGTTAATAATAGAGAAGAAAAGAGTGGAACTTACTATTTGAAGGAACAATACTGATGGTAACGGACAGCTACAGTGATCCCCACAATCACAGTTGGCACTCCAAAGGCCAGAAGACACATGACTGGAAAATTGGAGCGTCGAGAGGTCATATAATTGACAGCCCTCAGGTTTCGGACCGTCATGAAGAGGAGGACGCTCTCAATGGACATCCAAGAGAAGGTGCAGAGGAATAAGTAATGGAGCCCACCAGCAATGATGCTACACACAACCTGGAGAATGAAGCAGGACACCAACTATAAGAAGTACTATCAAATATAAGAATTGCTGCGTTCTTCCAATTTATTGCTATCAGGCTGCTCTGGTGAAAGTTCATCTTAAGGAAATCCGGCGATCGTACGATAATCGCAAGGTGTGTGAAAGACTTTTGTCTTACAAGCATGTTCGAAAACCAGCCGAGAATCGCAAGATAATTGCCGCACGGGCCGATGTGCGCATGCGCACACTGCAAATTCAGCATTGCGGCCATGGGAAGCCCGCCCCTCCGCAGGGTGGGCTTGCGATTATCGCAAGTACGATCTGCCTGTCCAAGATGGGCAGATCGTACGTTTTTTTAATGACCTTACAACCATCGCAAGACTAAAGTCTTGCGATGGTTGTAAGGTGTGTTGCCAGCTTTAGATAGACAGATAAAAAGTCTGAGGAACAATCGGGACTAGACAATTACCTTATTTTTGGTTTGACTAAGACCGGCTAGAGCAAGAAGCTGTGCCAGGAAGAGACATCCACTCATAGCTGCCAGGACAGAGGTATGAATACTCCTCAAAGAGCGACACAGGATGAAGGTGAGGAGAGACAGACACAGGCAGACCAGGGACACGCTCAGCCCAACATAGGTAATAATTGAGAGGATGAAATCTTCCTGTAAATGAAGAGACCAAAAAAAAAAGCATTTGTGAGATCAGGTACTAATGTTGAGTGAGAAGACCTAGGGTGCAACCGGCGTTTCAGTTCATCCCAAAGGTGTTTAGTGGGGTTGAGATCAGGGCTCTGTGCAGGACATTCAAGTTCATTCACACTGATCTTATCACACCAGGCACTGGGTTTGGATGAGAAGACCTGTCTTGCAAATTAAATTTCAATGGATCCCAAAGATGTTCAGTAGGGTTGAGGTCAGGACATTGTGCAGGCCACTCGATTTCCTCAACACCAAACTCATCACAGCAGGCACTGTTTTTGGATGAGAAGACTTGTCTTGCAAATAGCGTTTCAGCTGACCCCAAAGATGTTCAGTAGGGTTGAGGTAGGACATTGGTGTTCAGGAACTTGGGTGGCCTGCACAATCATATCACACCAGGACCTGTTTTTGGATGAGAAGACCTGTCTTGCACATGGCGTTTCAGTTGATCCCAAAGGTGTTCAGTAGGGTCGAGGTCAGGACAGGCTTTGAGCTCAGTAATGTTGGAACAGAAAAGGACCTCATGTAAAATGTTCTCACAAGGTTGGAAGTGCACAATTGTCGTAAATGCCTTGGTATGGTGTAGACATGTGCACTGCCAAAAAAATCGTTTCGTTTCGTTTCGTTTTACATTCGGATTTGTGTTATTTCGTTTTTCGGGATTCGGGTGTGAAAGTCAATTCGGATTCGGAATTCGGATTCGGACGAAATTCGGTAGCGTTCGCACGAACGTTCGTTTCGTTTTCTGTTCTTATTCGTTTCTTATTCGTTTCTTATTCGTTTCGTTCGTTTGCAGCAAAAGTGACATTTGAGGGGGAAAAAATATTTTTCTCCTTCTCTAATGTCACTTTGCTCCAACGAACGAAACGAATAAGAAACAAATAAGAACAGGAAACGAACGTTCGTGCGAACGCTACCGAATTTCGGAAATGGAAATTCGGATTCGTTTGCATTCGTTATGTCTGTAATTCGGAATTCGGATACATCCGAATGTCCGAATTTACGAAAATTCGTCCGAATTTCGATTCGGAACTAAACGAATCGCACATGTCTAGTATGGTGCAACATTAACTGTACCCTTTACACAAACACCTGAACTCAATAATTCGAAGGGGTGTCCACATATGTTTGTCCATATGGTGTACATGAGACAATTTTATTATTATTACCTCAAGCTCGGATGGAGCCATGATGACCGCTAAGCTAGAAAGATGGCTGCAGGAACAGGTGGTGTGCGTGTGATTAGAATCTTCTGTCGTGCAACCTTCATCCGACCAGCCATTATTTTGGAGGTCCCAATATGCACAATACAACTTGTGAAAGCGGCGTAGGGGCTGAAAGAAAAATATTTGAACATTTCAGTGAACAGGTTGTAAGCCATTGATTGACACCCACACTTCAAAAATGAATCTCCTGTTATAATTGGTGTGTAATGGTGGGAGGAGACAGTACTACTGACCTTGATTTGGATGAGTCTGAAGACCACGGGGTGACTGAAAGTTTTTGCAGCCCAGTTAGAAGTGGTTCCAGATACCACCCTTGAGTTAACCAAAACACGGTCATTGTCTTCTGGATCTCTTGTCTTGCTGAGGAAATTCCCATTTATGTGTGATGCAAGGTCTTTGTAGACTATGAATACAGCACCATCTAGGGGCAAAAAAAGGAGTTATTATGAACAAATATTTTGTCTGCTTCCACTGGCGGACCTAAGGAACAAAGAGCCCTGGTGCAATGGGTTTTTTTTGCCCCACTCCCCCCCCCCCCTTTTACACACACAACCACCCCCCA